CTACCAACCTGCCCTGCCAGCACCCTACGCTTTTCCAGCTCCGGCCTGCTTCAAGTACCCCGCCTCGCCGCCCTACTATTGACGGTCGAGCCTTCAGCCAGTCTGCCCCTACCCTCTGGAACTCCATCCCGTAGTCCCTCTGCCTCACCTCCTCCCTTACCTCCTTCAAGACACGCTCAAGACGCTCCTCTTCGAGACTTCATTTGTAGACGTTCAGTTTTAGCAGTGGCGCTATACAAATGTAATCTTGTTGTTGTTGTTGTTGTATTCCTACGTGTTGGCTGTATATGTGAATGCCTTCATTCATCCTCCTTCCCCCTCTGCCCCTCCACCCTCCCCAATTCCGACCCCCAGCTCGGGTCCGAAACACTGATTGTCCAGCACCTTGGGATGTCCTCCCGATGTGAAAGGCGGCATACAAATGTAATTTTGTTGTTGTTGTATACTTCATCTTCAATGTAACTTTGGTAAATGTATAATCTAACATGTCGACAAACTCTCATGGTAAAATGAGTTAGATATTTTACATTAATTGACTGAATTCTGTTCTAACTCGGTGACTGGCAAGGGTCGAAAGAGCTGACCTCAACCAGCAGGGAAAGCCTGGAGACTGATTAGCTAGTGAGGTGTAGCTGAAGGCAGAACAGACAGGCCATGTCCAGGACTTTTTTCTACATACACAATACCTTCCCTTGCCTTCGAAGAGTGTTCTGCAAATCCCTTAAAGGAATATGCCCTCCATTTATTTTTGCTACTGGACATTTCAAATAATGTAACACAACAAAATATCTGCAAATGTTCCTTTTGGGATGAATTTCAAATACATAAAATAATATTCACATTAAAGCAGAATATTTATGATTAATTTGAATTGTTCACAGACACAAATATGAGAGGTTATTGGATACAATTAAAAAATAAATATTTAAACTGTTTGTATATTCTCTACTTAATTCAGTTTTTATAAAGTATGTGAAGAACAGAAAGGAAATTTATGGGGATGACAGCAGGGATGAGTGCTTTGGCTTATGAACGGAGATTATAAGAACTGGAACTTTTTCTGTTGGAACAAGAAGGTTGAGGGGTGACCCGGTAGAAGTCTTTAATATTATGAGGGGTTTTGATAAGGGTCAAGAGGGAGCAATTATTTACACTGTTTGGTTAGTCAGTGACTAGAAAGCATTAACTTAAGTTAGTAAACGAGTAGATGGGGAAGTTAAGAGAATTTTTTTCACACGCACAGTGTATGGAATGCCCAATCGGGAGTGGTAGTTCAGGCAGAATCCATAAACAACAAGATTACGTTTGTATAGCGCCTTTCACGTCGGGAGGACGTCTCAAGGTCCTGGACAGTGTACAGCCTTTCAGACCCGAGCTTGGGTCAGGGAGGGAGAAGGGAAGGGAGCTGACTGATGGCATGGTCGAAGAGGAGGGTTTTGAGGCGGAACTTGAAGGAGGCTAAGGAGAGGCGAGGCGGAGTGATTAGGGTATGGAATTCCAGAGGTTGGGGGCAGAGCGGTTGAAGGCTCTCCCGCCAATGGCTTTCAAAAGGGAACTAGATAAATAATTCTTGCATTTGATATAGCGCCTTATCACATAGTTGAGACGTTTCAAAGGGCTTCATAGGATATACTGTAAAGTGGATTGACTGTGTATGGGCAAAACAAAAATACCTTAAAAGGAGTCAGCTACAAGGGTATGGCGAGGGACAGTAAAATAGGACTGAAATGATTGTTTTTAATGGGGCCGGCACAGACACAAAAGGCCAAATGGCCTTCTTCTCTGCTGTACATTTCTATGGTTCAATGGACCATCGAGAAAATTGGGAATTGTAATAGTTTCACATTAAGGTGAGGTCATCTGTTTTGTTTTAAATTTTTCTAAAACACATTGCATGTTATGAACTTTCAACTTCTGAATCCCAATGAAAGCATCAAGCACTCCTGCATCAGATATGGTTCTATGGCACCTGGTCAGATTCAGAGTTATAGCTTCATCTAATCTGTCTCATTTATATGCCTTGGACCCTTATAATAATAAATAATCCTTGCATTTGATATAATGCCTTATTATGACAAAATGTCTCAAAAGCATTTTAGAGTTTTCTGTAACGTGTAGTTTAGACTAATGTGGCAGCCAGGTTACACACAGATATATCCCACAAACAAGCGATTCAGTAAATCTTTTGTTTCTGTTTGTGAGACTGTTGGCTAGGCCACCAGGAGAAATACCTCTCTTTTTAAATAGTATCATTAGTGTATATTCTGTGAAGCGCTTTGTAACGTCTTAACGACACGATAAGGGGCTATATCAAATGCAGAGGTTTATTATTATTCAATCGTTAGGGCCCACCTATAATACTGAAATACTAATATGCATCAAAACATTATGCACCATATAACAGATTGATAAATGTTAGCCATTCAAGTAAATATTTGTCTTAACAAAAATCATCTTAACATGATTTTGTTATGTGCTTTCAAAAAAATCAAATCAAATATGTAACAAAACATGCCTTTGGTAAAATCCCATCAAAATACAACAGAATGAGCTGAATATTGGTGAACCTAGGCTACAGTAGCAACATCTCATAGATCTCAATGTGAGTGAGGAATGAACAAGTAACGGTGAATTTGGATAATGAGGAATGTTGACTTTACATAAAGAAAATTCAATGCTCTTTGAAATCATGCCATGGGATCTTTAACAATCCATAAGATACACAAGAACAGACAGACAAGACCTATAAGCAGCATCTCATGTGAAAGACAGCATCAGCAAAATGTAGCACTTCTAAAGTACTGAATTTTTCATTTTGAGCTCCAGTCTTGGTGTGGGACTTGAAACAACCTTCTGACCTCAAGGCTAGAATATTACCAACTCAGAAGGGAAATTTCAAAATGTTAATTTCTTTTTCCCAGCGGAGGGGTAAAATAATTTGATATTTCAGTGTAATTTCCAACAAAGGGAACTACAGAACTAACTTAAAATAGTTCTACATATTTTACCTGCAATAACCTAATATCCTTGGCATAATTGAACAGAAACAAAATGCCAAAAAGTACACAGAATAATGACTTTGTCAGAATCCACAAAAAATTATTTGCGCATTAAACAAGTTTAAAATTTGAAGCTCTAATAATTTAGTTTTGTTAAAGATGGCGCAGTAGTGATGCATGCTAAATTGCTAATGTTCTGCATCATGGAGTGACACATCATAGTGGATTCTACAGAACGATAATGAGAGGGAAATTAGCAGACGTTACCTGGGCTAAGCTCATTTGCCTCCAAGCCATGAGCTTCAAAATGAAATCAGCAGTTCCTATTAGGCTGCAAAGAGTGTTGCTAACTTTGCTGATGGCACCATTCTAGTATGGACCTTCTAGGAACCTGTGACTTTCACCAACGTTACTGTTTACTCAATGGGGCAAACTCAGTAGAGACTGAGGTAATTGGGCTTGCTTGCTTCGAGTCACATTCTCTCTTGCCGCTCCTTCTGTCTCTCGCTCAACATTGTATTCCTTCTCTTTTTTGCTTGCTCAATGTAGCTCTCCCTCCGTCTCTTGCTCAATGTCGTTCTCCCTCTGTCTCTCGCTCAATATCGCTCTCTCTGTCTCTCGCTCAATGTAGCTCTCCCTCTGTCTCTCGCTCAATGTCGCTCTCTCTCCATCTCTTGCTCAATGTCGCTCTCCTTCCGTCTCTCGCTCAATGTAGCTCTCCCTCCATCTCTCACTTAATGTAGCTGTCCCTCCGTCTCTCGCTCAATGTTGCTCTCCCTCCGTCTCTCGCTCAATGTCGCTCTCTCTCTGTCTCTCGCTCAATGTAGCTCTCTCTCTGTCTCTCGCTCGATGTCATACTCGCTCAAGCTCCCTCATGCTCTATGACGTGCTCGGTCTCACACTCTGTGGTCTCCATGCCACACTCTTCTTCCACTCCATAACCCCTCTCTCTTGTATATGTTAATCTCTTCCTCTATCCCAATAGTAGCCAACCTTTTTGGTCAATCAAATAAATGCTCTTGATTGAATATTTCTTGATTTATGGCCGCACCATAAACATCCCTACTTAATAGCTATTGGAAATAAAACACTGATTTAAAACGGATTCACTTTGACGAGTGCAAATGTTGGGTGGCCCATTTCTTGATGGCCCCGTAGGCCCAAAGTGGGTCATGGGTCTGCCATCACAATTCTGTGTAATATTCTCTATTTCTGAGTCTTTTAACACCAACCCTACACTGTATAAAAATACTATACTGTGCAATATTTACCTTGTAAGACTGACCTTTATGCTGTTGCCGAAAATTCAATGTACGAAGGAAGGTGTGCACAATTTCATATTGTTAAGAATGCTGCTGAAAGCAACTATATAGCATGCATTCAACTTCAAAGATGCACAGAACAGGATCTGTTTAGTCAGTATCACAGCCCAATGGTTATACGGAAAAATTGACATGCAGGTAAATTTTACTGTATCGCAGGTGTACATTCACTCAATATGGAATAGTAATGTCAAAGTGAAAAGTAGAATTTTTTACACTCCAAGTTTACCACCAAAGCCAGATGATAGGGCAGAGCAGACCAACATGAATAAAACCCCTCAAAATGCTTTGCCATATTGCTGACAGCAGGAAGAAGCCAAACGCCAGTGATTGTGGGATTTTACAAGGTTTAAAAATAGCGCACTTTAATGCATTTGATCCTTAAATCAACAATCAGAGCTTAAAAATTATCTACAACTTCAAAATCTGTGCATATTTAAGAAATAAATTATTGATTTGATCTTACTGATGATAAATTGCGCTGTAGTAAATGGAAAATAATTGACATGAGTTCAAGTGAGGTCTTTTTGTTTGAAAAATACAATTCAATGGGCATAAGCTTATAGACAGTAATTCCAATATATTTAAAATGATAGAAAATAAAAAAATCTTCCAGGAAATCAGCAGGCATAGATATAAGCAAGAAAGAAACATGCATAATTAGAATATCATTTTTTACCCTGGTTCCAAGCTTTCAAAACAGGCCATTGTGAACTTGAAGTTGGGCTTTGCCTAATATCTGCAAGAGCCATAACACAAAGAAACTATATTCAAACATCAGTTAATTGTTAAGCATTAATTCAAATATAAAAAAATAGTCCATTTTTGGGGCATCCCGCTGGTAGTTACATATCACAGAGTCATAAATTAAACACTTCATTCAGTGTGAGGCATTCTGATTTCTCCATGATATTAATTGTATTAATGCTTCTGAAGATGAAACTTGTCATGAGCATACAGGTTACGTTGCAGCAATGATTTGCAGACAAGCAATGACAACAACCAAATGGAATTAACATTTTCCTCACATGTGCCATCAGAAGAAAAAGATTAAGTATGCTCCTGGCATTGCCCGGTTCTGCGCCCGTAGCACTATGCCTCTATTTTGGTCTTTCTGCTGGAACAGAATGAACATTGCGTTGTCTTAATTCTCTTGGAAATAACATCAAATAGGTACAGTATTCACCTTTAGGCCTCGGTGTCCGTTTTCTTCGGTCCCTGAATGCAGCACCTGACTGCAGGGCCTCCAGCAGGCTATCCATCACTCCTGTCTCATCACCCTCTGTGGAAAAGGATTGAGGGAATTCTATCAGCCCTGAGGGTTACCATAGCAATGTCAAAGAGAACAGGGAAAGACCACTATGTCATGTCTAAAACCAGCAATTTCAAAACTAGACAGGCCTTTAACTTAGTCATAAATCAGCTTTCTTCTTACAGAGATTTGTCACGTTTTGGGTTTTCTCATGGCCAATAAATAAAGACCAAAGTTCAATTGATTCACCTGTAACTATTGCTTTCACAGTGCAAATTCAGGCAGCTAAATCGAACAGATTTTATCACACAACCAAATACCCATTAAAAACTAGAACTGGCTCCTGGATTTGGCACGTTGATGAGCTCCACTGCTAATAGACTGCAGTGTTGATTGAACAATTGTCATGGAAAATGAACAGAAAGCATATTTTGTACATCAGGAAAAAAGGGCAACGTAATCTACCATTTATGTCATATTCTTGTCCTGTTCTCTCCTCACTTCACTAGTTTTAGAGATGATGAGGCTGGCATGAATGCAATCAATCACTGTTTAATACATCTCAAAAGCTAATACTTCTAGTATCGGCATTTTGTTTTACAGGCAGGCAGCCTCATAGCAGAAAACAAAGGCTTCATCTAAAGGAATCACCTGTGAAAGGCTGAGAACATTGTTGACCTTTACTAACTGCACTTCATTTTAAATGGAATCAATTTGTCATTAGATAATCTGTTATTTCTGACAATCATTATCTTAATATCCTTTAAACTCAATTTTAGCTAATTTTGTTTTAACCAACTGTATAGAGTGCCAAATGTATAGCAGGAAAAGAAACTGTATTCTGTACCAATATCTTTTCTATATCACAGAATAGTATTTTTTTGGATCAGACAGGCGTCTGACACAGCACATGGTCTGCTCTAACACTGAAGGAACAAAAGGATCAGAATAGCAATTAGGTAGTTATACAGCAAATATTTGCACAAATATTCTTCTTAAATATTTGATCTCTACTATACTTATCGAATAGAGATAAAAAGAAAAAATGTGAACGCATTAAAACTGATAAACTGAAAATGAACAGGTCACTACCCAGACAGATTGAAACTTTGGGTATAACCCTTCCTCAAGGTCAGATTTGAAACATTTAAGCTATTGTCTTATTCAGTTGCTGAAGGATAGATTTCCAGAATATCTTGTTACATTTATGCATTAAATATTGAGCGCCATTATTTTGTTGAACGCATTATAATTAAAATAAACATGTTAAGATTGAGAATTCCAGATGAAAAGGGTATCACAAATATTGTTTCACTGAGGCTGTTTGATGAGATATACACAAAGCATAGACAATAGTGATTCGCTCAAACTGCAGAATTCAATCAAACTATCGAACAGGATGACACTGGGTCAGCTTTTCAAGCTAGATTGCAATGAAAAAACTAATAAATTAATTATTCAACATTATGATCCAAAGAATAAATCTATCACAAGGTTTTCCCGTTCAAGTATAGGTCACTAAAGTTTGTGAACCACAATATAAAAATATTTATCAAAATGGACTACGCAATACAATATATATTTATATAGTATTTTCATGTTGGGAGGACATTTCAAAGTGTTTACGTGGCATTTGTTGATGTAAGTTTCTACATAAAGCCTGTGCGGATCAGTGCATTTCTTCATGTGTTAGAACCTAAAACAATTTAGTGAGTGCATTTGGAAGTGTCGTTCAAAGGTTAGGTCGGGCCCCCTTGTGCGATGTCCGATTGAGGCCACTTGGAAATCTTCCTGTATCTGAAGTCTCGAGGATATGGTTGCAAAAACATTACACACCTATACTATTTGCACTTAAACAAAAACAGAGAGGTGGGAAAACGCAGCAGGTCAGGCAGCATCTATGGAGAAAGGAAAGTGAGTCAACGTTTCGGATCCACGACCCTTCGTCAGAACCCGTTTGTATTTAAGATATCTAAAATAGAAAATGATGTCCAGCACAATTAACTTCACTTGGAGAAACACAAAATATTAGGAAATAAACATTTATTTTACAGTGCAATTTATTGTTACTGTAACTTTAAAATTAAACTGAAGGTTTTACATTTTTAATGGTGCAATTATATTTTAGAAAAAAAAGGTTTCTAACTATTTTGTATTTGAGTAAGTATATCAGATTTTTAAGGCAAATGAAACTTTAAGGAATCAGTAAAGTAATTCCCAGCAGTTTACATTTCTCTTCATACCTGGCCCTTTTTCATATAGTGATTCTGAATGGTCGATCTTAGATGACAGAATTTAAAAGCAAATACCTTTCACCCCCAAAAATTCCAAATATAAACAATATTCTGAAATCACATCCCTATGACCCACAATGCCAAACAATTCAACATTTTGAAAGATTTACGTAAAATTGGCAGGTTTAGAATTTACAGAGTATGAACACTTTTATTGATTTATAAGGTAGAACACTGGCATTTTACAGTTTGGATTTTCTAGTTTGGAATGATACAGCACTTCACACGATATGTACTCCAGAGATTTGAGTTATACTATAAAATAGCAAAAAGATGCAATTGGATAATGTAGAACTCATTACAATTTCTGTTGGTGGCCACTTTTGATTTCAAAGTCTACGACAAAGGGGACGTCACATTGATTGATTTTTAAAAATGTATTATAATTTATTTCTCCTATTTTAACAGCATTATAAGATTCATTATACTCTGATAAGATCAAACTAATTGATTAGCATTCCTTGCAGGGATTTTTAATGGAACAAGTGAAAACTTACTATTAATAACTAGTAAGAAACTAATTTGGATATTAAGAAGAAATCTACAGTGCAGGAGGTGGCCATTTGGCCGATTGAGTCCACAATGCCTCACAGAGCAAGGAGATCTATTCAATCCCACTGCCCTGCCTTATCCCCATACCCCTTCAAGCCCTTCTTTTTCATACGCCTCTATTCCATTTCCACCATCCAACTTGGCAGGCATTCTGCATCCAAACAACTCTGGCTTCAAGTTCAACATGTTCTCCTTTCGCTGTTCTTTTGGCTTTATTATAACTATGTCCTCCATTCACCAATTCCCTGACTCCAGTGGAAATAACTTCTCCCTATCTACCCTGTCAAAACCATCATAATTTTGTACACTTTTATCTGGTGTCCCCTCAACCTTCTCAGCTCCAATGAAAAGAGACTCAGTTTCTCCAATCTCTTCTCATAACTTTAGCCATTCATCCTTGGAATCATTCTCGTAAATCTCCTCAGGTATGTTGTTCAGGTCCCCACTTGAGGTTTTGAACTCATATAGTCTATCCTGACACTCCAATACAGTGCTAGGGTTGTGCTGTTGGAAATGCCATCTCTTCTCATTTGACATTAAACCAAGGTCCCATCTGCCTGTTCAGGTGGATGTTAAAGATTCCATGGGACTACTTGACAACAAACTGAGAGTTTTTCCCAGGGTCCTGGCCAACAATCTCCCAAATAAAATTTGTTATTTATTTCTTGGCGGTTTGTCGGACATTGCTATGTGCAAGTAGTCTGCCATATTCACTACACTACAATAAATCCTGTGAATTGTTTGAGATGTTCTCCCGACGTAAAAGGTGGTATACCAAATGCAAGGAATATTATTATTACTATGTATTAATAATAAACCAGATTGATGTTACAGCAATCAACATACATTGAAATAAATCAGTAAGTTATTTGTGAACTGTATGGTTAAAGAATACAACATCACTCATTCATCAACATGTTGGTTATAAGAATAACAACAATTCTTGCATTTGATTTAGCACCTTATCACGTCATTGAAGCATCTCAAAACGTTTTGCAGGATTTATCATAAAGAATATTTATCTGTGTATTTGTAGGTAAATTCAATTTGAACACAGCAAAGTTCTACAAACAGCCATGAAATGGGATGACCAATTTTATCTACATGAGCAGCAGCACCAAAGTCATATCATTGGGACTTTTACTATTGTATTCAGTATCAAGGCACTGTAGTGTCATTTTAGGAAATATTTAATGAAATACAGGTTTGTTTTTGAGAAACTGCTAACTCTGGTCTGTGCTGCAAGAATTAATCGAGGGTAGAGTAATCATGCTGTGATACAACCTGTGCACATATCACTTTGCAAATTGCAATGTGTGCCAACTTCAGGAAGGCTACAGTTCAATCTTTTCTCTTTCCTCGAATGGCAATTCATCATGTATAAATAATATATTTCTCTGAAGATTCTTTTGAAATCTGCTGTAGCTCAGGTTATATTGAATCACAAAGGACCTCAGCAATGAAGAACTGAAAACTGAATGAATAGCTGAGATGATTAAAACAATTGAAACTTAAAGAAACATAACAGTTGTTAACAGCCAAGAAAGACGTTTTGTTTTACTGTGTGGAGCAACTGAATGTTCAGTAAAATGAATCTTGGGATGATGGGTATTCAACAAGGTAAAGGCCTTTGCACTGTTGCTGCTTGGTGGGCTAATTATGTGTTTGTAAGTGGGTAGTTATTTTAAATTAATGTAAAAATGTGTTGATGTAACAGATTTGCCAAAATTGTACCAAGATATATCTAATCAGGTCATACAGTTAATCCCAACTGGTAATACTGTAATGAGTTGCTCTGATAAATTGTTTGCATGTCATTAACTCAGGTAAAGTGTTTTTTCATTCGTATATTGTAAAAAAAAATTAACCCTACATGCTATCCAACTTTCCTGAATTTGGATACAAATAACTTATTTACACTGTATTAAAATATTTGCATACATTTATATAAAAATGTATACATATATGCAATAACTTTTATATAACATTTATATTGCGTCCTTCAACTGGGACAGAGTACTGGGGTCCTGAACAATGGAGCTTTTTGACAGTGAGTTAGGAAGAAAGGGGAGGTGACCTTAGACATGTTCAAAGAGGAAAGTATTCAAGTTCAATTTGTAGACTGGTAAAAAGGGGCAGAGGGAGGGATTGAGGCAAGCTTTCAGTATAATGCCTTTACATAAA